TTCAGTAAGGCCGGTCGATCGCAAAAAGTTTAGTAGCGCTTTCAGGGCCCTCTTCTGTGAAGTCGCATCCTGACGATACTGCAGAATTCCCTGCTCCGACAGAGGTTGATCATCTAATTTGTTGAGTTCCTTGCGAAGGCATAGTCGTTGTTTACTGATTCGTGAAATTACAGAAGCTCGAATTACTGTTGGGATCCTAGAGGAGCAATGCCGAAATCCTCGCTTGTAGTGCGAATTCTCACCTGCCGTGTGAATGCTGGCTACAGAGCGATCTGAATTGCGTCACATGTCAAGTGACTGATCCGTCCGCGATCACCTCCAGTCATGTGAATACAGCTTAAATTGGGGGGGGGGGGGGGTCTACACGGTCTCGCACCTACTCGCCAGCATGGTAACAGGACAGTTGATTCCTTTTGGCTCTTTCAATAGTTACTCAACTTGAAGTTAAGTCTACTGACTTTCGAAAGAATTTTATTAACAACATAATTCCTAAACGGCACCTTACCACTTACAATGCATAATCAAAATTTGTAATGCTGCCTGGTGAGGGTCTTTCAAAAAAGAAACACAGAGCTGCACAGCTTTAGAACTAATAAATCAGGTCTGAGAAGGTTTAATGTTCAAAACCACTTGGGTTCGATAAAGATAGGCACAAATGCAGAAATACGTTTGCAAGCTGCTTTTTATTTTGCAAATTTTTCAGGCCTTCATCAATTGATGTTAAATGATATGAAAAACCAAGCTGACAAAAAGGCAGTATGTGTACATGAACACTAATTATAATCTTGCATCTTATATCTGAAACATGCCAAAATTGTACATTTTATATATAAGTGCCCAAGACTGAATACAAAAATCGACAAGATCTCCGTCTAAAAAAGGGTCACAATTGGAGTGAACCTGTCTCACTTCCTGTTTACTGCACAGGAAGCCAAACACCTGTTGGAACCGAGGAAAGTGATCCGACAATGATACACCTTGTAGATAAAACTGTGGGCGTCTTATTACAAGAAGTACTTATGAATGTATGTAATCAGAAGTGACCACTAATATCGTGAACTGAAGGAACAATTGGGCTGACTATAACAACTTTCACTAAAAGGCTAGAATACTGCCATTTTCAGTTAAGATACAACTCTGAATTAACAGTGCTTAACGAAACTTTAGGTAGGTAACTGAACTGTAAGAAAGAACAAAAAAATTTCCATCTTACAAGCTGCATATCTGTATAGAAACTGCAAGAAGTCAGAAACATGCACAGAAATATAAAGAGAAAACACTTTTCGAATGCAGACAAGCGTGATTACACAGCTGTGTACATGCACTTTATTAAATGTTCGAAAATACTGTTAAACTGCGAGGACAATGAAAAGGGACTAATTGTAGGGATTTCACTCAAGCAGAACTATGTGTACAGGATCTAGAACTTTTTTATAGTTTTTTGTATTTTAGCTGCATCACGTACAAGTGAGACACTACTTAGCTACAAGTTTGCACTGCTACCAGATGAAAACTTTAAATATTTTTTGGTAAATGAACTGGTACCTTTCGTTGGAGGTGGTAGCTGCCCACTGAGTTTTCTTCTGCAAACACAAAGAAAAGAGGTTACATGACAATTTAGAAGATATTATGCAATAATTTTCACACTACATATTGTATAACACACTCACAGCAACCTGACCGATTTTCTTCTGGTCCTCCTGTAAAAAATAGATATTGATGACCACATTAGAAACTTGGGTGAGTAGGATTGACAGTCTGGCTAGTTTAGAAATAGGTTACGTTTTTTTTTCTACAGCACAAAGACAGGACTATTAGCACAAACAAAGAAATGCGTTTTTTGTACGGGAGAGTAGTAAAAATGCCACCCCGCTGTCTCTCAATCCATCCGAGTCCTGTTTTCGTGTTGCATTATCAATCGAGTAACTAATTTCACTGAACACGTGACAAGTACCTCACAAAGATCACCAATCTTGTACTGTTTCATCAACTCTCTGGCATCTGTGGAATGTCCAACATCTTCAAATGCTTCAGTTGCATGCTTTCCTGCGGAATAAGAAAAATCATAGGTTATACTTGCGATTCAATTATGCCAACTAAAGATCACGTAAAGCAAACCACACCATAAACATGCAAGCAAAGCTACACGAAGTATTTACCAGCCTGCTCCAAAAGAACTTCTTCACCGCCTGGGTGCTGAAATAATAAAATGCTGCAATTTGTATTGATTCTTTGTCCCATTGAAACATCAATTGTGTAGCACATCCTGCAGCCTCAATGGCAAACAATGGACCTATGCCAGTCCCTGCCCTCATTATGAGATAAAGGTGCGGGGCAAAGTTCCCTGCACGAACTACCACGGCGGGTCTTCGAACTTGCCTTTGCCAACCCGGCTCGTTTCTCAGTCCAAGGACCCGCGAAACCCTGCACTTCTGTGAAGTGGCCGGGCAAAATATGCAATTTCTTACTCCGTGACCCTCGATTTAGGTGAAGTAAGTAACACGATAAGATACGGCGCCGACGTAGAGCTACGCAGTTTTCAGTTCCGAGGAGAAAATTACTATTTTTCCAACAGTTTCCAAATCTTTACCCTGTTTCCTGATGCAGGGCTTCGGGGTAAAGTTTTGTCAAGGCCTTTCAAAGCTATATCGGTACAGGGCTGTCTGCCGTTATCCTCAAGGAAAACCTTGTCGAAAGCCTTCCCGCCAGCAAGAATCCGCTCACGGTCGACACACACGCGCCCACGTTAGGTTAAAGCCCTAGCCGTTTTATGTTTTCTTTTGTACAGGTAACAGTAAGGAAGGGGGAAAAATACACGTAAACCAAGGAAGAACGCAGATGAATTTATATGGAGACAAATGATCGCGATTAGATACCTGCATGCTTTAAAGAGCGCTACACTGCCATGCATCCGCCGGCGAAGAGCTAATAACAAATACTAGAAAAAAATACATGCAACAAAGCCCGACCGACAATCGCGCAGCTGCGTTCAGTATGGTTCACCTGACAGATGAGATCAAAGTACTTAGACGCATGGCACGCAGCCGAGAACATCCAGGAGGCCGCACGACGAGCTATTTCATACCCAGTAGCGAGGCCATATAAATCGTGCACACGGAGCGATGCCTCGTGAAGTGTCACAAATAGTCATGAACGGTTCACAAACGCCGTATGAGTTTATGCAGCGGTCGCTACTGACAATGCAAATAAATGTGGACGCCTAGTAAAGACGGTCACACTTTCCTTCTACGTCTCAAGGACGAAATTATCTGGGATCACGTACCTCTTCCATGAATTTCGTCACGTCGTACACTGCGTTGTGGATTAGTAACCATGCAGAATACTTTTCGTTGTGCTTCTCGATTTCGTCTAGCGTGTAGGTTTTTGTCGGCGTGGCCATAGCTGCAGTAAAAAAAACGCTGATCGCCGAGCGAAACAGGAGAGCCGTTGTCAGATAGGAAGGAGACGCGGCGCCGAAACGCTTTGTCCCAGAGCATAGCCTCCTGCCCAGAGTCACACTTAACTCATCAACCCATCATCATCCTACGTCTGTCCCGGCTCTCCCTCCCCCCAGGGCTGTGTGGGGGGAAGATTTGTTTCGGGCAGACGGCCATGCCCTGGCAAGGGGGCCACCGTTCGGCGCCAGGCGCCCAACAGACGCGGCCTGCCTCCCGGCATACAAGCCAGGGAGGCCCGACAAAGGGACTACTCTCCGGCGGAGCAACTTCAGTCGCAACGCGCAAAGTGAACGTACCCTGGCAGGGTGGGCTATCGCGGCGCATGGGGCGCGCTGCGGTCATGGCCCGTCTCCTGACCACTAGGGCCCAGCGAGACTTGACATAGGGGCTACCCTTCGGCACGGTAGCTCTCGCTACCACACGCAAAGCGGACGTACCCAAAAAAGTGGCAGCGGTGCTGCCTTCGGTCGCGGTAACTTCAGTCACCACAACCAAAGTGCCCGTGCCCTCACACTGTCGCGCGGCTGAGACCCTGCGACAACACCCCCACAGTGCGGATGGGCTATCGCTCAGCGCGAGGCGTTTTGCGGTCATGGCCCGTCTCCTCACCACAAGGGCGCAGTGAGACACAATCCGTCCTGTGGGGTCTACGGGACTACTATTTGGTGCAGAGGCCAGTGCTGCTGCACACAAACCAAACGTACCCACGGAAACCGGCACGGCTGAAAGCCGGCTTAGTCCTTCTCGAAGAAGGGAACCACCTTCCGCCTCGACGAGTAAAGTAGCCGAGCCTACAGAAGGGGCCAACACGGACCTTGCGGGTAAAGCCCGACAAGGTGACAGGATCACCTTAGTACATGCAAAACTCGGGTGAAAGACCATACAGACCAAACTCGGGGGCGACTGGCTCACTAGGCCTAGTCGTGGAGCCTTAGAGAAAGCCATCATTAAAAGTTGATGGTTATCTGCCCTCCTGCCTCACTGAAAATCACTGCCGGACGGTGCCACGTCTCGTAGAACTTCTTTGCACCAAGGCGCTGCCACTCTCGGTGGAGAACGAACCAGACCTCCTTCCGTACTTTTGCAAGCACTTCGAGAAGCCCGGGTCGCTTGCCATCAAAGACGGCACAGCACCGTGCAACCCACACTTGGTACGAGCACTCAACAAGCAGAAGCACGTATTGCTTAGCCGCTTGTCGCGACAGGGGTTGAAGAAAACGAACGGTGTTGAAAGGAACAAAGCTACTGGCGAACGTTCGCTAGTCACTACTGCTTGCAAGATATCGCCCGTCAGGGTGGCTCCGCCGCTGACTCCGCCTCGCACGTCGCGACTGCTGCGCTTTCTTGCGGTAAAAGTTAACAAATATAGTATAATTAATTATCACGCCGGTAAGAAACGTGTCACCTATTTTTCATTCGGAAAATGGCTGCTGTCATTTTAATTTTGTTGTAATCGCTCCAGTTTTTTTTTTTTTGCTTTGGTCGTAAAAAATCAACTGGGTGCGGGAATAAAGCTAGAGCGGCCTGTCTGTGGGCCTGTGATTGGCTGCTGCTGCATGCGCTGGCTACCCGCATCCCCGGATGAGAACGTCGGCCTGCTGTCAGGCCAATGAATAATGGCGAGCAAGTGGTTTTCCTCGGCTTGAGGTGATCTGGTTATTTGCTAAAGAGGTATTCCCTCGCTGCCCGGTGATGCACCATGGTGTGCAAAGAAGAAATATACGCGTGGTTTAAACAGTTAAGCGGTGCGGTAAGGATAGATACCATGTGTGGTTTGCTCAACCTGTGCTTACCGTTAGAACTTCGGTTCTTGGGTACTTTCCTAGAAGATTTAGCTAACAAGGATTACACGTACTTCCGAGAAGCGGAACAGCGCGCAAACAACTTGAACGAGCTGTCCAAATATACCGGTGTTAGGGACATTGTATGGCGCAGTAGGGTGATCACTTCGCTAGCCTTGCTGCGCCTTTCCAACCGCAGTTGCTCCCATGCTCTCTTCGAAGCCCTGTTCGAAGAGATGAAGAGCGCCAAACACGAGACGTACGACTCGAGGACCCTTGACGAGATGCTGCTTCTGTTCACCATGGCCACGCATCATCCATCGTTCAGCTTTGACGAGCGCTCGGAGTTGGTCAAGTTTCGCGAGAAGCTGGAATCTCTTGGGGCGGCTCAGGTGGGTGCGGACACTTAGCGGTTTTTCGCGGTTCCGGAGGTTTCGATAGTTTGACAGGGCTTTCTCAACAGCCGTTTTCGTCGCACCTTTTTAATTATATCCTCGTCCGTCTTTTTTTTTTTTCACGTTGAACGATTAATTCGGCATGAGGCGCCATCGCAGGCTACATCGCGTTGGAGGAGTCCGGTAGTCACCGACACCGGTGCTTTCGGCGTGCGGAGATTGCTACAAATGCGCTACTGTTTCGTTAAGCATTCTTCACTTAGTGTGTACGCGTAGTGTACTCTGGGCGTAGACCGCTGTCAGTAAACTTAATGCATCCTTTTGGGACTTGCCTGGTTATGTAAAGTTTGTTTAGCTTGTTAGTCACCTAGATGATCTGCTCGCCTAAATTCGAAGATAATTATCCCTCCTTCGTGCTTAGAAAGAGGTAATTCCCTACATCGATGACGTTTAGCTCTCGCTATTTGCAATCTGCGACACACTATAATTCGTGCATCGCGTAATTGATTCACTTGCTGAAAGTGAAATCACAAAGCCTGTTTTTGGCGCTGTCATATGGCAGATCAGCGCGATCGTGCACGCTTATCTGAAACGAGAATGAATGAGATGTTAGTGGTTAGCTTTCGACTGAGCCGTTAAGAAGGTATGCGTTAGCAAAAGCTTCGCACTAGCAAAATTCTTCATCTTCTCTCTGTCAAAGTACCGCCCCGCCCCCTTTCTTGCACCACGGCGTATTTGCTTTATCGTTTGTCCCAACACAGTGGCATGAAAAATGTTCTTACCAAGATAATTTTACCGCAATTTCTAATATTGAGGTTGCCCATTTTTCAGCATTGCCTCTGCCTTCAGACTTTCATGCATTCAACTTCTGTCTGAGGCTCTTGGGACTCGCTTAGCAAACTTTAGAATACTGCTTGCTCGCAAGTATAATTGGACGTATGCTTTGTTTACAGCTTGCTCACATACATTTTATTCTGTGTTTGAAGTTGAATTCATAAGTGTTCTGCACTAGCCACTTTCATATGTCTCCTGTAAGCAGTCTGAAGCATTCCAGCTACCCTTAGGGATTGTGTGCACACAAGCTGAAGTGCAGTAGCGATGTGTGTAGCTGTGACTGACACTCAAGACCAAAAAAGTGTTGCAGTGGTGAAGGGTTTTTAGGTTCTGAGCCGTGTATGGTTTTTTGCTTTTATTCAGCGCTCTTTTAAGGCTTGGAGATGTACTCAAAAGCTTGTTAGGGGTACACAACCGGTACCTCTAGCAATATTTTGGTGTCCGTATTTCACAGCAACTGCAGTTCTGAAAAACATGTTGGACTACCTGATTTTGAGGCTGGACCTATTATATACCTTGTTTTTGAGAAGGTAAAGGGATACGAGCATTTACTTTTCTAATACCAGTGTCAAATGGTAATTTTTTATTATGATTGAGGCCACTTGAGACCGGTTATTTTCATCATGATTGTCTGTATTCTTCAAGCTGTGGGAGAGAGCAAATGACAGCCGAAAAATCGATTGCAAGTGCATTTTGTGACGCCGGTTAACATATTGTGATGTGACCCATGCACCTCGCATTGTTATACTGTCACATGCAGGATGCTTCGACATCAGTTAACTTGGGCTCGGGCTACTAACCACTCATTATAATTTTGCATCATCAGCAGTTATTGTACCATGATTGTACTTGGCTTACTTTGAGAGGAGCCATCTCATGAGTAACAAGCCTTACATGCCCCTAGCATTTCTGTCTGCGAAATTTAGCTTATGTTCTTAGCACAAAATATTTAGGTTCAAATTTAAAGTGCTAATGAAATGCTTATTAGAGGTTACTCATGCCCATGCTTTTTTCTTTGTCTACAGTGTACATAATTCTGGTTTCTACGCATTGAACAATTCACATCATTAGTGACATGTGATCTACTCTCGAGTGATGAGCTTGTGGAGTGTTCACTTAGTTTTGATGTTGTTTTATTGCGAGAACTGTGCATAAAGGACTAGAGGCACCCGGAATTAATCAAGAGCCTTCACCGGTGAAGTCTTGAGCATTGCAGTGAGCCATTAAAAGCCATTTATTGGTTTTGCTTTGCCAGTAGGAAAGAGCACTGCACAAACCTCATGAGCACATTTGAATGGGGACAGCTGCTGCTAACCACGATTCAAAAGCCTAAAGCACCATGAAATGCACTAATTACAGGGTGCGTACAGGTCCTTGAAAACCCTTGAATTCAAAAAATGCATTTTCAAGGCTCTTGAAAGTCCTGAAATTTTTCCCGTCCTTGAAAATCCTTGAATTTACTGAGTACCCCCAATCGACATTTTGTCCTTCTTTATGTGTGCATCAGCATACCTGCCAAGTCTTCTGGATGTCGACCAGTTTTTGCGTCTGTACAGTTGTCGGGAAAATCTCCCGGGAATGGAAATTTCTAGGCGTGGTCTGGCCGCATTGACAAAAATGTGGCTCAATCCAATCTAGATTTTTTGCGAATCCATCGCATTTTATTGTAAATGAATTTAGGAAGTGTTCATCTAAACGTCCATTGGATTGAAATTCGTATGTTCTGAGCTCTTCTCCTCATCTCCGCGAGTCGTATGAACTTTAGTGCCGAAACCGTGGAATGAAGGCCAAGAGCAGCGTGCTCGAAACTTCGGAAGGACACGCGTGGCCAGTGCACGCACTGTCAGAACTGACGTTATCATTTGCCACAACCGCTGTGAATGAAACCGCGGTCACTCTTTGACACGATCATGTGTGGCGGCGACGTCATTGACTGAAAGTGCATGCACCTGGAGTGCTCGACCAGTTAAAGCAACGTTGCTTTCCACAAATCCTGTGAACAAAATCACGGCAGATGTGATCTTGGATAGCCAAAAACTACATAGTTATGAAGGCACATGTGCAGCCAGCGCATACAGATTAAAAACAACACTACCATTTTCCGCAACCCCCACGTGCGAAACCGCGGTTGCGGTGATGCGATCTAGCCGAGGGCATGCGGCTAATGCAGCAATAGAGGCGATAAATCTTTGGCACTCCTGTCCAAAGAATCTAGTGACGTTCCTGTATAGGCACCGTTCAGTTGAGTTTTTCAGTCTAACTGTAGCGCCAGAATACATAGCTTACCGGATGAAAAAAGCAACCTTGAGATGGCGTCAATGAAAGTAGAACGCAACGCGCGTCTCGCACCGTGCAACTGTCTGCGGATAGTGGCCGGGATACATGGGGGACGCGCACACGTGTCTATTCAGTGTGCGGTGCCTATAAGGCACCGCACAATGAATAGGGTATCGCACACGCAACTCCCTCTGGTCAGTGTGCAGTGCCTACCGCACACCGACAAGAGGGAGCTGCGTTGCTCACTCTGCGCAGTCTCAGTCTGACATTTGCCTTTAGGGACACGCAGAAAATAGACATATGTACACGTCCCCCATGTATCCTGGCCACAATCCGCCGATAGATGCACAGCGCAAGACGTGCGCGTCGCGTTCCATTTTCGTTGACGCCGTCTCAAGGTTGCTTTTTCATCCGGTAGGCTATGTATTCTGGCGCTGCAGTCAGACTGGAAAACTCGACTGAACAGTGCCTGTGCAGTGGAGTTTTTCAATCTTAACTGCAGCGCCAAAAAGCAAAGCCTAGCTGATGAAAACAGCAACATTGAGACGGTGTCCGTGAAAATGGAACGCGGCGCGCGCGTCTACCTCCCTGCACGAGTGGGCAGATTGTGGCTGGGCTACACGGGGGACGCATGCGTGGTCTGTTTTTTGCGACCCCCTTACGGCCTATACCAGTGAACTTGGGACAGGGCAGGGCGAGGAACGAAACTCCCTCTGGTCAGTGTGCGGTGCCCATACTTTGGCATAAAGTTTTCAGTTGGCTTGAGCGAAGTTTTGACTCGCACTTTCCCGGCAACCGGCTGCATCATCCCATCCATTTGTGTGTGTCCCAGGAAGACATACACAAGTTCTTTTGACAGAATTAGTTTTTGCTAGTTGTTTTGATGACGTGAAATTTTGAGAGATACAAGTATGTCCGTCCCCCTTTGAGACTCGCACTTTTTTACTGTAGTAGGGAAACCCTACCTCGGGTGTTCAGCCACTCTAAGTCAGTATGAGACCGCACAACACGATGTTTTTTTAGTGTAAAAATAAGAAAGGGGAAAAATTAATCAGCATGACACCTTCCTCCCACACTTCCCGTTTCAGAAATCTGCGATTCAGAATTCTTGAACTTGGAAGTTATGAATCAGCATTGACCTGACCAACTCTCCATTTCTGAAACAGTAATTTGGCGTGATTTCATATGGTTTCATTTTCTAAAACTGCATGGGGAATAGTTTTACTGTGTCAAACCTTGAACAAAGTGAGCGATTCTTAATGCTCTTCGGTGCTGGCTCCTTTCCTATTGTGCGAGTGGTGAAGCTAAAGTGCAGACTAGGCATGTTTGTTATAATTGCAGTATGCATGTACTATATAAGTGCAATAAAAATGAGTCAATTTTAAAAAATTTAGAGTAAAAAATTTTCAACATTGCATGTCACTTTTAGTCCTTAAAAAACCCGTGGCAGGTCCTGGAAAGCTCTTGAATATCCTTGAATTTTTCACTTTGGAAACCCGTACGAACCCTGTAAGTATTGCAAAATTCAAACGGCATATGTAAACTTCAAGGGCTGTGTGTACCAAATACAAACTGGCTACAGAGACATAAAGGTTGTGATCACTGCTTGTAAATATTCTAATTGGAAGTGTTTTAATTGCTCAATTAAAACATATATAAGAAATAAGGGCACCACCTCAGCATTGGGGTGATGGTCTTCGTTCTTGTTCATGTCCTATTTTTCGACTTGTTTGACATTAAACGAAACACCTGTCTTCAGTATCTCAAGTTAGGGTCATGCCATATGCGGTATCAAGTCCTGTCGAATTTTTAAGCTGCCTCTCGAAACCTATTTTTGCTTACATATTTAGCTAGGTAATTTTGCAGTTTTCAGGTAAACAATGCAGTTTAGACCCATGAACAATTTACGGTCTATTAGAGTAGTTGTGGAGTAAAATGAATAACAGTGGCTCCAAATTCTTGGCACAACTTAAAGCACAAATACTTTCTAAAATATAAAGCAAACCTTTTTATATGTTTTTTTTTTCAGTACTTTTAACAGTGTTGAATTTACAAGTTTGTTTGGTAGCCTGCTGAAGATTGACTGAATCAAGTTTGTATATTTTAATTTGGCTATTGTTTACAGGCACCCTCATCTTTATAGTCTAGTTCAACCCTCTAAAGAACATATTTGGGACCCAGCAGAAGTCCCTGATTTGCTGCTGTATGCACTTGTGGCTTTAGACAAGTAAAAAAATTCTTGATGTTTGTATTCAGCATGAATACAGAGAAAGAATATGCGTCTTACTCAAAGTGACTTTATAGCAGAACACATCTACTTTTTTTTTTTAAATACTTCCTGTGCACCTATAGCTGATGTTCATTGCTGTGGCCTGTCTGCCATGTTTGCTTGAGATCTTACGCCTGATGCTGACAAACTTTTTTGTTTTTCTGTACTGATAAATGGCAAGATTTGTGCATTGTACCTGTGCTGCTAAAAGGAAAGTAAGGACGTCTTCTTAGTGCAGCTTGTAAGCTGGAAAATTAGAATTATTCACAGCTCAGCAGCCAGACAGTGCATAAGCAGTGCTTTATTTGATTCACTTGGCACGCGACTGATCCGAAGTTCATAAACTGGCATACTTGATGTTGGTTAGGATTGCTATTGTTTGGAGGCTGTTCTGCTGTGTCTGCTTCTTCAGTGAGGCTAAATTGGTTCCTTTTCCAAGTGGAAGCGTGTAACAAGTTTGCTTCTCCTTACTTTCCTAGGGCATGGCTGTGGCAGCCCCCATGGAGAGTTATGTGGTTCCTTACATGCCCTACACTGTGCCATTCATGCCTCCCTATCCTGTACCGGCAGATCCAGTAGCACCTCCACCTTATGTGCATGCCCAAAGTGTGCAGAAAGGTAGTGCATTCATTTCACATCTGCTGTGAGATTTGTCGATTGTTGCAACATATTGCTGTAGTTATGCTCTGCACCCATATGCCTGCGCTACATTGTTCCACTTTCATTTTATTCATCATACTGCTGTGGAAAAAAAAAAAACTACCTTCAAATTATCTTCAGTGTAATGGACATCTCATGTATACTGGCATTATTAGTATTGAAGTGCCTGTGTATTTTGCATGCGTTATTGGGCATGGAACTCTGTGTCTTGATATATTTTTCTATTCCACTTTTCTATATTCTATGCCCTGTCTAGCAAATTTTCAATGTACAAATGCATTACTTTCATCTGTGAATCAAAATATTTCATTAAAGGGGCCCTGAAACACTTTTTCAAGTAACCATTGAATGAATTCATCGGAAGAGCTTATTGCCTCACGAATTCAACGTCGCAAAAATTTTAAGAATCCGTTCAGTGTGAGTGAAGTTACAAAGATTCGTCGCATGCTGCAATTGCATTCTCTCTTCTCTCGTCCTGACGAAAGCTGTGGAAGCTAAGCAGGGCCACAGAAAAACGTCATGGGCGCCTCGCGACCTTGAGCAAGTACTTTTTTCTTCTTTTTTTTTTTTTCTTGGAATGTGCGGATTTTTCAGTGTGATCAAGCGCGTACGCGTGGACAAGTAGTGGCTTCCCGCGGCGATCTCTGTAACAAGCGAGGGCGCCATGTTCAAATCAGCCAATGGCTGGTAGATGGGTTTTTAACGTGTGATTTTCGGGCTTATAACGTGATATGTCGAGAGAAGAGAAAGCAATTTTTAGCTGACTGATAATTTATTGTGAGTTCCAGGCCAACGTGCTGTGCTATAATATTTGGCTCGCGTGTTGTCGAGAGCGTCTTCTACGGATCAGCAGCGTTTTCTGACCATGCTCAAAAAGTGTTGCAGGGCCCCTTTTAAGCATTTTGTTTATTCCTGCACAAACTCTTTCAGTCACATTTAGTCTGTGTTCCTATGGCCTAAATGTTTATATTTCTGTGGAAGCACATTTAAAACGGCAGAAAAATGTTTGAGCCTGTCGCATCAATATAAAATTCTGATCATGGCCAGTCTTCATAACTACACTGGTTGATATGCAATTAGGGATAATTAAATGATAGAAAAATAGCTGATTAACAGTTGTGATACAGAGCAACGCATTCAACACCTTGTTGAGCATGATAGTACAATTATTTGACATTAAATTTCCTGCAGTGAAGTGTGTTACTGTATGATGTTTGTACATAGTGAACTGAGGAGAAAATGGCAGTTGATGTGGAAAAATGAATTCGATAAGCTACACTTTTTATAACCTATGATAAGCAAATGTAAATCTTGCACATACAAAAAAAAAGTGCTACAGAAGTGATACCGTGCAGTTTACACGTAGGACACACACACCTCACATGCAACTTCATTCTAACCAAATAAGATAAGTCCACATGAGAAGCATGTGGACATGACCTGATATTGAGTCACATTTTATATTCTTGTACGAAACTTGAAACACTACGAAAAAGAATTTTTAATGCCAATCTCTAATGAACACATCCCTTTCTTTCAGCATTAATTTTAGGCAAAAATAGCTTTTCTTTATGCATCATGGGCTTTTAGGTTAAGAGAAGGAGGATTTTTAGGAAAACTCCAAGTCTACCTCCAAGTCTACTCTCTCTCATTTTTCGGAAAAGTAATGAAGTTTTTGTTCTTATCAGTTGGAGACCGTCAGGGTCTTTGCTAAGGCAAGGTCTCACTGTGCAGACCCAATTTTTTAGTGCACACCTTGCATTTAGCGCATGATAGCCGTAGTTGCTTACGTGCCATTTCAACAAACAAACAAATGAAGTTTGCGCTATGTGTGTGTGTGTGCTTTCTTTGTGTTCTTGTTTTTGTTGTGCTATTACCATGCTTAACTAAACAAATGAAGTGTGTTATGTTGGTTTTTTGGTCAGTAATGGTTACACTTGGCACTATTCCATCATGTTGTCACAGATTTTAAATATCATAATATAAGTTTTTATTATTTGTCAGGCTAAAAAAAGTATTGATGACAGAAACTCTGTCAAATTTTTATTGACGAGTATTTGAAAGATAGATTGGTTTGTAAAACATCTAGGGAGTATGCATGTCTTAGATTGGTTTGTAAAACATCTAGGGAGTATGCATGTCTTCCATGTGCTGTAGAAAACCAGGTGTAGATGTGGCTGCTTCTTTTGCTTTTCAGCACGTCTCTCTAGTATTGAAGTGAAGCCTGAGCCTCAGTGTAAGAGGTCAGTTAAACTGAGCCTACAGTGGTCAGACAGACACCAGACAGAGGTGGTGCGTTCATTTCAGGAGATCTCTGGCCTTTCTCAGAAGGTATGCTGTCTTAATATTACTAGTGCTATGTTGACTAACACTAAACCATGATAGTCACTTGCTTACAGATAGTGTTCTAGCTTTAAAACTGGGTTGCATTTAACCTTCATTGATGTTTGATTTTCCAGCTTTCTCGTCTGAGTGCTTCTGATCCATCGTGTAGTGGAAAGGCAATTCCACAGCTACCGGGTATGTCTGAGATTTCCTAGCTGTGTTGAAAGATATTGAACATTTAACTTTGCATGTGGGAATGTTTTGGCCTTCTGCCTTGGCTTGTTTTCTTAACATATCTTGTGAAGCTACTTTAAGATTGAGTGAAATTAATAAGGAATAAAGGCCCACTAGACAACATGTAGGCTCTATGACCTGAAATGTGTTCCACCATCATAGAAATCTGAAGATCCGTATAATGGTAGAATGAGAAAAAGAGGAAAAACGAGAAAAGGAAACACATTTTATGAGATAGAGGAGAGAAAAAAAAATGTGCGTGTTAAGAGTTTTATTGCATACGAAGCCTGATAGAAGTTTCCTGACAGCTGAAGCAACAGATTATACTACCTTGCATGCTTGTTTGTGAAATATATGGACCTGTAATATCTTTTATTCAAGCAATTTACCTGAAGGTGCAATAAAGACATACTCAGTTTAATAAATTATTTTTAAAGAGCTTTGTTTTCATCTTTTTTTTTTTTCTGAAACCCCCATGGCTGGTGCAGCGTTCTAGTGTTTTTTCAGCTTTTTAAAGTTATGGTGGAAAAAAAAATGTTTTTAATTTCCCGTTTTTATCTTTTAACAATGTCATCCGATTTTACTTGTAAAAGTTTAGCTGCCATTATGAATGTTTTTTGCAAGCTGGTACAGAAACTTCAAGGTGGCCATAATACCTTCTTTTGTCTTTGCATCTATTAGTGGTAAGAGTGGTTGTTGTAGCATTGTGGAAGCGTAATTCATTAACACAATATTAAAGTGTGCCCCAGTGTACGCAGCATACTGTGTTTTTGGTGCCCAATTCTCGTGTGGCAGTAGTGAAAGCTTTACTCTCTACTACTGCATTTGTGATAGACCCAGTGTTGCCTTTAAAATTTTGGACCTTGTATAGTATGTGTCTCTGCTGACATTCCAGGAATGTAATTTTTTAGAAGAATGTAATGAATTATCTGCATTTGTATAAAGGCACAGCTGTTTGTTGCTAGAAACTGTGGCAGAAAACTTGTGGCAGACTTGTTGCCCATTTGTTACATTAACCTTTTCTTTCATTTTTCAGCCTGCGTAGAAAAAAATGAGGAGCTGGATGGAATGTTCGAACTCTCGGAATATTTCAAGTAAGATTTTAAATGCAGTGTATTGCTCAGTTTGATATCTTTGCATAGTTTTGTTGAAAGTTTTCCGTCCATGACATGCTAAATATGCTGCAAATTCTTTCTTAAGACACCGTTCAGAATGAGAATTAAAAACAAAATTTGGTACAATTACAGGCATGCAGTATACAGGAGGATGTCCCACAGTCAAGAGACTGTATCAAAACCTTCTGCACAATAAACACTTTATAGCGAAAGGTATCTATAAAACAAAAAATATAGTAGAAAAATATACAAATGAATGCATGAAATAGTACTATAAAGTTAACATATCAAATCAAAATGAAAGGTATAAGAAGAAAAAAACCAAGTGATACAACAGTTTAATAATCTTTATCAAAAAAAACTAACAAAAAGCACATCATAAATGAAACAAACAGTAACTCTTATGGTTAATCTGCATGAAGCAAATAAATTTTAGCTTTTTCTTTTAAATTAGTGAAATGAGCTTATAGTTTTCATGTTACATGGAAGAGTGTTCCGTAGTGAGATGGAAGTGAATCTCTGTTTAACCTGGATATAACGAAATTGATAAATTCCTGGAAAAATTCATCTTGAAGAGGATTTCATTATATGCAGGTTCGGTACAAAAATTGTGAAAACAAACGTGCAAATTAAAAACAAAAAAAAACCGAAGGCAGAGCTAACCCAAAACACTTATTTTACAGTAAAAAACTGTGTTACTATTGCGATAGCAATTATATGGATGCTCTCGGCGGGTTTTTACTGTCGCCGCCATGTTCCGTAAGAACTCCAAATTGATACCCCCCCCCCCGCACATCGCAACTTTCACGAGCGGGCAAAAGCGCGGGAGCGCTGCTGAAGCAGAGATCAAATGAGTTGGCCTATCTCCATCTCCCGGAAAATGCATGAAATAACATCTCCCACGTGTTTGAATTGCCGTCGAATGCTCAAACAGAAAGTAAACAACCCGTCTTGAACGAGCATGACACTGCGGGGAGTGTGGCAAATCGCTCGAGTAGCAATAATGAACTTTGATTTCAAAGGCGGTCGCGATCGCTGGCGCGCTTGCTATGTCGGCGAATATCAGTGCGGTTTCAATGCGAAAGGACTGTGTGAAAAGAGCACTTCCTCCTAGAGTGGCCTTAATTGCTCACACCAGCGTTTTTCAGGAGTTCCGCAATATTGGATCCAAAATTTTGAGTTCGCTGCCAGCCTTACTTTTAATGACATTACAATTTTTCGCTATTGCGTTCATTGCGTTTCATTGAACGCACCGTCGTGTTGCCCGAACTAATCACTTAATCGCGAAAGCTACCAGCCTGCAAACTCGTGGCGCAAGACAGAAGCGCTTGCCGAGTCTACCTCTGAAGATCTATCATCACTGTGGTCTCGGAGAGTTTTCATCAGCGCCTAATCTGACATCTCCTAGGTGGTGACGACACGACCGTGTTGTTTCGGACAACTGCTCGTCTGATATTAAGGAAAGAAAAGTCAGTTTTGCCGCAATGGTGAAGCAATGAATGTGATAGCAACAACTTCGAATGTAACACTGAGAACGGCAAGCAGATCGAAACGTGCTGAGCGCTGCTCACGCACAAATGATGCACGAAAACAACATACACAAGATTAGAGTGAACTAACAACATTTACCGCTCGACACTTAACGCGCTGTTGAAACAAAAACGAGGCACGAAACATAATCACCGCTACAGATATAAGTGCGAACAAGTGCCCCAGTTGTTACTTCGCTGAGTTTAAAAAGCACACTCTTTTCACAAATGGCGCCTGTCCAGAGAGCAAAGCGATCTTTGTGTAACCCCCCCTCCCATCGCGGGGCAAAGTACGCGTGGAAACAAAGTAATACCTGGGCACGGAGTGCGGGCCTTTTTTTTTTTTGTTCTTGAATGTTCATATATATATAGTTGCGTATACATATACGGTGAAGGACGGGGGCTGCAAAAAACCAGCCGAGACTGTGCATATAAAAAAAGCAAATGCAAAGCTAAATGTCGTCACGGGCCACACCACGCGAGCGAGCGCACGGCGTCAGTAAGAGCGAAGGACACAGACACGGATACCCCATAAAACTATTCGGTAAAGCACCCTATATGCAGTGCAGTCCCACATATGTGACGTTGCACTGTCAACGCGCAAAAGTAGTTTTCTTTTTTTGGTTTGGAGAGGGGGGGGGTCATGCTCACGTGGCGGCGAGAACGACGGCAACGCCAGCTCGTGGGGTGCAGGCCCGCGTCACACTCATTTACGCATAACGAGCACTTGCTATCGCCTGGTGCGTTGTGCGTGCCGCCACCAAATATAAGATACATGCTCATACCAAAATGCTAAATGCTGAGCAAAGTTTTTAGATTGTCCATGGGGAAAATTCGTAATATCAAGGTTGTCTCCCGCTGTGTACTTTGTGTTATATAGAGGTCGCAAATATATATGCTTCTAAGGAGCAACGGCTGGGAACAGAAAAACTTTGTTATATCAAGGAGTTCATTACATAGAAGTTCATTATAAGCATGTTCATTACCAGCAAATACAAGCATTTTCTTTGGCAGCAGCTTGTAGAACAGTCCAGTTTCGTCACAGTTGAAAATATTATTAGGTGGTAACTGCTGAAGCAAGGACTGCAGCTTTCTATTCGATATTCGGCGAAAACGGAATCGTTGACGGCACTGCTTTCTTCGCACATCTTCTTTAACTTTAAGTCATTACGGCTCTTGAAATTACGAAGCCATCCATCGCTAAACTTGAAGTCCTTCACGTCCATCTGAAGCACGAAAACCTCTGCCTTCTGCTTCAGGATGTCGCTTGACACCGGGATTTTCTTAGCGATCATGGCACTGAGCCACACGGCGAGCGCTTCCTCGAGCTTCGGGTAAACACCCTGGCTCTCATTCTTCTTTCCAGCCCGAAACAGTTTGCTTCAAAATTCCAAACTCCCTCCCCACCTCTGCCTGCGACCGATCGCGTTGAACCTGATCAATGATGGCGGTTTTCTTCTCCATCGTGAGCCTACGAGGCGGCTTTGTGCACTTCAAATGTGCGGACGAAGACGAAGGAGCGGTCGGTGCCATTGCTGTAAACGGCAGATCCGCTCGACGAAAACCGCAGCACAAAATGAGGGTGCTTTGTACGCTTCAAGGCGCGGACGAAGACGAAGGAGCAGTTGATGCCATCGTTGTAAACGGTGAATCTGCTCGATGAAAAGCACAGCACAAAACAGCTAGGAACTCTGTAGATGGCGAAGGTCGGGAAATGTGATCACTAAAGATAGCGCGCAGCACCAAACAATCAACTGCAGACACGACCTCAGAGCTGACAAAAGAACACAAGGTTTGGCTTGTCTCACTGAACACAGTGAGGTTCGGCTTGTCTAAACCGCTAAGCTACGGTGGCAACGGTTTGACACGTGCGGTTTCGAGGTTACGGCAGTCGCAGAGCAGTGCGACGGTTGGCGGCGGTGCTGCTGGCCATACCTGGGTTGCGAGTATGGCGGGTTTGAGGATATGAAAACAACCAAAATGGCGGCATTGCTAGTGACTTTGGGTCGGCGGTTAACAGTAAAAAGTCTGAAAAATCGGATGCCGAAGGCTATAACCTTCTTGAATTTCGGACGTTTTAATACATTGACTTTATGGGGAACTTGACAGTGCCACAGATGAGTCCGGGAAATCGGGCATGTCCGGAATTTTGGGCGTCCGGGAAACTGGACGTTGACTGTATCACTAACATAATTTTGTACTCTATACACATTTTTAACGCTTGCATATAGCACTTGATTTTAGAACTCGATATAGCCACAATGCACCCAGTGATCATCATCATGAATCATCGCTTACATGGCATAAGACATTTTTTGTCCACTCGTGGTCTTTGCACCCCAAAACTTCACTAATCATAACTCTTGCCCATGGACTTCATTATTGAGCACAGACTTGGTCAGTTGGTCCTTTTCACTACAAAAGGACGCTTTGGCCTTGCGGTGGTACAGTTTTGGCAGTCTTGACTGCGCAGTCCACTCTCATTTTCCTGTGCTGCCCTCTGCTGTTTTGGGAGCCCCGAGACTACTGGGACAAGTGGTATTGCCATAACAAAATTCTCATAGATGAAGAGTTGCATAGCGACCTTTCCTTCTGCTAGGGCAGGAGTCTCAAACATGCGGCTCGCGAACCTTGTGCTTGTGGTCCGTAGCCCACACATGACTGGTTTCACCCCATATTTTTTTTCAATGGGCCTTGCAACACTTTTTAACTATGGTCAGAAAACACTGACGACACATGAACAAAATATTGTCACGTGCGTCCCGCGAAAAAGACGAAGGCGACAGCGCATACGCGCATCTGCACGCTTTTATGCAGAACGCAACAACGAGAAAGATGAGGAACTCTCTCTCACGCGGTTAACAAAAAGACCGACCCGCTGCTGTTTTCTCAGCGTCTTCGAGTGCGACCTCTCTCTTGACGTCGCGACACTGGTGGAGGTGCTGGGGCCTGCAACCTGATGCAAGAAAGCGTTGTTCGGGACCGTACACCCAGTCCGGAGCCTCAACGTCTTGTTGCGACTCCAGTACACCGATTCAGCCGGCGCCTATTAGGCCTAAGCCCAGAACTCTTGACGGCATCTCCTGTTACCAACATGGCGGCCCCTTCAGCGTCTGCGAATCTTCCCCCGGCCCAGACGACTCACCCTTACCAGGCAACTTTTGAGACTCCTCGTGTTCCCGAAGTCTTCCGTGGAGAACCGTATGAAGACGTCGAGGACTGGCTCGACCAGTTCGAGCGGACCGCTGTGGTGAATCGTTGGAGCGTGCAAGAAAAACTTGGCCGTGCCTACTTCGCAATGGAAAATAGCGCTCGCACATGGTACGAGAACAGGGAGCCTACTTTCCAAACCTGGGACAATTTCCGCCAAAAGCTTCTCGAGACGTTCCGCCAACAACAGTGGATGAATTCATCAAAGAGGCGACTGTCATTGAGCGGGCGCTCCGGCAA